TGACAATATTTTGTTAGTTCTTTCCTTTTTAGCATGGTCCTGGTTCTTCATGTACTCCTTCATGTACTATTGGATGATAGAGCTTAGACATAACTGTTTACTCCATACCATGTTTGACATAGTTAATGTTTAGTTGTGGCTACTTACTTCTTAAAACGTGCTCATTGAAGTTTAATGCTCAATCTTCTTTCCTTACTCCTTAACGTGTATGTATAGAAGATAATATTCTGACATGGTTCTGGGCCTATTCCATTTGAGTGAAGTTCCATAACATGTCATGTTCTGAAGGCACTGCACATTGTCACAGACTGTCTTTTCGACATGATCACATCCAACCCATGGATTGATACCTCACCCACTAGTCTTTTGTTATTCTGCTTTCTAATTTTTCATTCTCTTTTTGTCTCCTTGCCACACCCTTCATTGCTAACCTTCCTCTATTCTGGTTTTCTACATCTTATTTTTTAGACCTGGCTGTCTATGTGCTCAGTCTGTACTGGTCCCATCTTTTTGTTTATTATGCATGTCCTACTCTCCATCTCCTCCTTCAGACCCTTGCTCTGTTTTGGAACACTTATGGGATCCTTTTAGTAGCCTTTTACAGGCGATGCCAACCTTGTTTCTATTACTCCATCTCCTCTTGTCTCAGCCCTGACTTCTACTTCCCAACTTTTCATCATTTCTGACCCACTCTCACACATTGCTCTTTCCTAAGGATTTGACACCCCTTTATATTTGTCCATGGGATTTGTCCACTCCACTTCCCTGACCATATAGTTGTCCTTTATTCCCCACTCCTTTCACCCTATTATCACCTCTGTGTGCCAATATACATGGCGTACTTAACTCCTTGGTCTCATTGTAACCATTTTACTTTGATTTCATTACATTGTAACATTTTTGTCCTCTTTCATGGGATGGTCCTTCCATAACTGTTCTATTTCTGGTTTTTGGGTGGCATTTTCTCCACTTTCTACCTTTCCTGATGTCACAGAATAATTTATTCTCTAGAACTTTTCTATTCTTTCTTACCTTCCTTTTCTACTACTACCTTCCTAATTTTTGCTTGACTGGATTATAACTGTGGTTCTCCATGCTCTTACCCAGGTCTCTGTTGAACCTTTAGAAGATGTTTCTGCTCTCCCTAGATACCTTAGTCCTCATCCTACTTGTAGTTGTTCACATATTTTTGCTCTTATTTTCTCCTACTTTCTCATTGCTGCATTTCCCTTTTCCTTCATCCTGGCCAGTCTTTTCTTCCCTCATATTCCATGCTTGGGGACAGTGGTCACTCCTTTTCTCTCATATCATATCCTTCTATTTCTCTTTTTGGTATTTATCTCGATCTGAACTGATGTTCTTGTCTTGGCTGGGCCACTCAGTATTTTGTCACAATTTTCCTCCTTGTATTCGATGACGAGGAACCCACTTTGAGACTAATAATGA